AAAATTGGGTGGGGACCCCAAAAATGGGGGGGAGGAACCCAAAAATGTGGCGGGGCTCCAAAAGTGGTGGGGGAGACCCCAAAAAAGGGGGGGGGGACCCCAAAAATAGGGCTGACGCCAAAAATGGGGGCCCTTGAAATGGGGGGGTGGTCCTAAAATGGGGGAGGGACCCCAAAAATGAGGGGGGGGGTCCTAAAATGGGGGGCACCCCTGAAATGGGGACGGGACCCCCAGGGTGGGGTTTGGGGCCCCCAAAATTGTGACCCCAAAGTATCAAATTGATTCCGGGGTGGGGGGGGAACCCCAATCCTCACCACTCACCCGGACACCCCAAAAACCCCCAGGTGAGCCCCCAGAATTTAGGGGGGACCCCATCCCCAATTCCTGGGGGGGTTCCCCAAACTTTGGGGGTCTCGGGACCCCCCCTGGACCCCCCAAATTTCCCCCCAGGGTCGGAACGTGGCCAGTGGGGAGCTGGGCTGGTTCCCCCGAAGCGCCGTCAAACCTTTCGTGGCCGTGAGTTTGGGGACCCCAAAAAAGCCCCCCGAGGTTTTTTTCGGGGGGTCCCCGAATTTGGGGAGGGGGTGTGGGAATTTTTGGGGGGTCATTCGGAGCCCCGGAACCCCAATTTTGGGTCCTCTCTTTGTCGCAGGCGCCGCTGCCGGATCTCTCCGTCTACCCGTGGTCAGTGGTGGGAGCCCCAAATTCTGCCCTGAACCCCAAAATTCTGCCCTGAACCCCCCAAAATTCTGCCCTAAACCCCGAAATTCTGCCCTGAACCCCAAAACTTCTGCTCTGAACCCCCCAAAATTCTGCCCTAAACCCCGAAATTCTACCCTGAACCCCAAAAATTCTTCCCTAAACTCCGAAATTCTGCCCTGAACCCCAAAAATTCTTCCCTAAACCCCGAAATTCTGCCCTGAACCCCTAAAATTCTGCTCTGAGCCCCCAAAAATTCTGCCCTAAACCCCAGAAATTCTGCTCTGAACCCCAAAATTCTGCCCTAAACCCCGAAATTCTGCCCTGAACCCCTAAAATTCTGCCCTGAACCCCAAAAATTCTGCTCTGAACCCCCCAAAATTCTGCCCTAAACCCCGAAATTCTGCCCTGAACCCAAACAATTCTGCTCTGAACCCCCCAAAATTCTGCCCTAAACCCAAACAATTCTGCCCTGAACCCCAAAAATTCTTCCCTAAACCCCGAAATTCTGCCCTGAACCCCTAAAATTCTGCTCTGAACCCCCAAAAATTCTGCTCTAAACCCCGAAATTCTGCCCTGAACCCCAAAAATTCTGCCCTGAACCCCAAAATTCTGCCCTGAGCCCCTCAAAACTCTGCCCTAAACCCCGAAATTCTGCCCTGAACCCCAGAAATTCTGCTCTGAACCCCCAGATTCGCAACTGAA